CCTCCCCAGACCCATAAGGCTAAATAGTTCTTGGCTTACCTACTAGACATGAAGAGGGAAAAAAATACTTAAAGAAAGCATGCATAAGTTTCAATAAATTTCCCCACAACACTCACAACAACAAATCTTTATATATTTAAAACCATATAGATGTGGGGTACCCCTTGGGCTAGCAGATGCTAAATTTCTTTTTTTTTTTTTTGGAAAAAGCCATAGAATAATAGTGATGAAGAGTTCAATCTCTAGAGTCAGATACTCTGAGTTTGAATCCTGACTCTAGACTTGGGAATTGTGTGGCCAAGAAGCCTGTAACGTCCTCATCTGTAAAATGAAAATAATAACAGTACCAACCTCAAAAAGTTGTATGATAATTCTCTGAAATAAGCCTTGAAATATTTTAGTATGTAAGGTGTCACATCACTTAGTGGATGGTCTGTGCTTTTTAGGGTTGCCTCCCTTAGGTAACATCACCTCGCTGCCTTTTTCCTTATTGGCCACATAAGGACACAGCTACCTACTTGATAAAGCATGTGTATATTTGAAGATTAAATTAAATAATCATAGCACATTAGTGGGCATTCATCATACATTATCTGTAAGAATAAATAAATAAAACTTTAAAAAAAGAAGGCTGAGAACATGGGATAAAGGAGAAGTTAGCATTCTATCTACTTAAATTCATCTTTCATCGAATTTAATACATTTGACATAAAGGGTTATTTGACATAAAGAATCATCTTGATTTCATGCTCTGGACAGAATTTTGTTTGCATCTGATTCTAATTGTTTACTAATGCTTTAACCCACCAACAAGTGATGAGTGGTTTGTTTAAAATGAAGGCCTGGAGAAATGGGCTGATAAAAGTTATTTCTGCTTATTTTACCAGACTTTATCAGGATGGAGGGTGGCTTAACCCAGTGCCAGTGGCCCATGTTCAGTGTACCAAGGTGACTTAGACCCATTTCAGATAGTGCACCTGGCTTCTTCCAGATGTGCCCTGAGTGCTGGTCTAAAAGACAAAGTCACTCAAGAGAGAATATAGCTCCATAACCTCTGCTAGACTGGATGCAGTAGGACAAGAGGGAGAGCAGGGTACCCCAATACCACTGAGGGACAAGATCAAAGGTGGAATTCATTAAGCAGAAGGTTGATGCTGGCTTTAAAGCAGTGCAAGTAAAGTGGCACAGAAGTAGACCAATAACCATGGCACAACTGTACCGAATGGGATAGCTGGCAGCTCCCCACAATAAACTATAGCTTATTCTTAGGCCAGGTCTAGGAAACAGTCTATAAACAGGACATTCTGGATCAAGGTGACTATAGTTACAGTTTGAAAAATTGTCATTACATGTGCCCAAAAAGAAAAATTGGTAGTTGAGTAACAGACTCGTTAACCACACTCACGCACTTTGCTATTAATCAATGTCAATATGTCAATATATAGGCCAGCCATTTCTGACTAAAGACTATAAGCCAGTCAGTATCAATATAAATCCAAAAGATGTGTATAGTCCATATACAAACTGTTGGGACTTTATCTTAAATCTAATTGTATTGATTTGATTCAAGGCACCAAAGCCAGTGCTTAGCACACAAAAATACTATTCAGAAAGACAATACTTCCAGCTTGTATTTATTCTTTTATTTATAAAGTAGGTTTAGAGTATACTACTGGATAAATTAAGCATCAGGATTGAAAAAAAAATCAATATATACATAATGTACCAATTTGGAGGTCAGCTGTCATGCCAATTTGTGGTTGTTATTGACATTCAGAAACTCAAATATCATAGACAGAAACAGAAAGAAAAACTATCATGGATTTATTTTGTATCTGCAACTAGCACTATAGTTATCTTTTCCTGAGACTGAAAAAATTCCAATACTTATATATCAAAGAAAATATGTTGAGTCTTATTTCTAGAACTTAGGTGCCCAGGTACTTGGACCACCTGAATGTTTGTATAAAACAAAGCCAGTCAAGCTTCTAATGACTACTTTCCCCTAACTCTTCCTATATGTTTATTTCTTGCATATAAAGAGCAGAAGTAAGAAACTAGCACTCTAATCAATGAGCCTTCTTCTTCATTTTTCTTTAAAGAACCCCACCTCGCCCCAGACCAGGCACAGCTGACTTTCAAAGGTGTGGCTTCTTGAAGTGTAATATGTCCATCCAGCCCAGAAATCTTTCAAGTTTGTTTATGAAAGTTTGTTTATTTATAGTTCAGAAACTATAAATACTAAACAAAGAAATATCATGATAATAGGGTTTAGAGATTATTGTTTTTTATACAAATGAAGATAAGCCCCTAGTTGCAAAACCACTCATAAAATTCAGCTGCTAAATAATCTGGTCATAGAAACTGGTCTATTTAAAAATCACTTATGACCACCTGTTCACTGGAAATCCAGAAAAAAGCCTGCTCTCAGCCTTAAGCCAGTTCCTTCTCCTTAAGCCAATTCCACTGGTAGGGCCCTTGAAGTGAGCAATTTTTCAGAATGGTCTTAGACACATCCATTTCTCATTAGTTTGTTGGCTGTCTGATTGCTTGGCAATACATCCCATATTATCGTAAGAACATTTAGTGATGCAACTGCTATAGATAAACTCCCCTGAGATGGCAGGTTTAGAAAGACTGAGGAAAATGGCAGCATGGAGATTCATCATGAATGAGCTTATGCTCTTCTGGGTGACTAGGCCGGGATACAGTTGTCACCTAACCTCTGCCCAGGAAAGGCTTATGGGGAAAGTTATCAAGTTGGCAAAGTTTGGGCACTCTCTGTCTTTCCTGGAGGGCTTCATTAGGCATGAGTGTTTTCAAGCTGGTGTTCACTGCCTAATCAGTTGCCTTGGCATTGAATGGCCTTTTGATTTTCTTCCCTGTACCATCCCCTACTCTAAGTTCAACCCTACCTTCATTCTCCATGGAAGTCTAGAGTACACACTGTGTCAGCACTGTGTGAGGTGCTGTGATTGCCAAGCTAGACATCTATAATACCATCAGAGTATTCATGATATTATCAACATCAATGATCCTGTCATTAGTATCTATGGAAGTCATGGGATTTCACACATATTATCTGCACGTAATCCTATCAAAACAATAAACTTGTGTATAGTGGAAAATACTTTGAAGTGCTTTAGTTTTAGAAGTTAAATTAGCCAGGCATGGTGGCTCACACTTATAATCCTAACACTCTGGCAGGCCAAGGCAGGTAGATTGCCTGAGCTCAGGAGTTTGAGACTAGCCTGAGTTAGAGTGAGATCCCATCTCTAAAAATAGCAGGGTGTTGTGGTAAGTGCCTATAATCCCAGCTATTTGGGAGAATAAGGCTAGAGTATCAACTTGAGCCCTGGAGTTTGAGGATGCTATGAGCTGTGACTCCACAGCACTCTATCAAGGGTGACAAAGTGAGACTCTGTTTCAAAACAGAAAAGAAAAAGAAGTTAAATTAAATTAATTGAAATTAAATAGAATTAAAAATTCATTCCTCCACTGCACTAACCATCTATAGCTAGTGGCTACCATGTGAGACTTGCTGATCTAGAAGTTCAAGTGATGTCGAACAAAAGAAGGGAAGCATGAACATTTGCTGTCAGCAAAGCATGAGGGAGTGATGTTTAAGGAAGGGTCAGAGATCAAGCATGTAATAAGTTACAGATAGATAAAAACATAAATTTTGGATTTAAAGTAAATTATTTCTGTTGATTTTTATCTGTGATCCCTTTAAGCTTCAGTTTTCCTTTCTGAAAAGTAATAATATCTGCATTATTGGGCTCCTAAGATGGAAGGCAATAACCTAAATAGTGGGCTTAGCACAGTATCTAATACATTCCAAAGGTTCAGTAAATTATAACTACTTTTATTGGTATCTATGGCAGTCATTGAATTTAGGTGTGAGAAACCTCTGAGAAAGTTATAATTTAATTAATGATTTACGGGAGATAGGGTAGGAAGACAAAGATTTGTGGTATTTTTTGTAAACTTTATTGCATTATTGCAGAAAAGTACACCAATCCTAAGTATGAGTCTCGATGGATTTTCACAAAGTAGATACACCTGTGTTACGAGCATCCAAATTTGTAAACAGAATAGTCAAGAGAATCTCAGAACCCTTCTCATGTATGATGACTTCTAACACTGTAGATTCATTTTGCCTGTTGACAGACTTTATATAAATGGACTCTAACAGCCTGTGCTCTTTTAAATATCTGACTTCCTTCACTCAGCAACATATGAGGTGGTCTGACAATTAAGTTTGTGAACTTATTCTAGAAAAAGTGCCATGTACCTCATTACTACAGTCACCTTCAAAGTACTCCCCTTAGGAAGCTATATACCCATGCCAGTGCCCAGTCCATTTTTCAAAGCACTTTTGGAACTCTTTTCCTGGAATGACCATAAGAACTGTCATTGTACAGCACACAAAAACAGACAACAACATTAATGAACACCACTCAGCAAGACACTGCCACACGTCCACACAAACGCAGCTGGGAGACACTGATATACCAAGGTTCTGAATCCGTACCAAAATGTTTGTACAATGTTAGCAACATAAGTGCCCAGTGGCAAGATCACAAACTTAATTTTCAAATCTTCATACACGATCAGCTTTGAAGAGTGGACTAGGCACTGATGCTAGTGCACAGCTTCTCAAGGGGTGCACTTCAAAGGTGACCATAGTGATATTTTGCATATCATAGTGAGATGTGTAGCACTTTTTGTAGGATGAGTTCATGAATTTAATTGCCAGATCTTGCTTACTAAATTTATCCACATTGTTGTGTGGAACAGTGGTTTGTTCTTTCTCATTGCTGGTATAAATATAATTTATCCATCCATTCTAAAGTGGATGGACATTTGGCTTATCTCTAAATGGGAGTGATGACAAATATTCCCTCTGTGCACTCACTTGTATGGATCTTTTGCTGATGTGTATATACTGGAATCTTGAGTTTTCAGTGTCAGGATTTTTGTTGTAATTTCATATGCAGGTACTTTGGATAAGCACAAGGAGTTGGAAGACCTTATGGCTAAGTTCCTGAATGTAGAAGCAGCTATGGTCTTTGGGATGGGATTTGCAACTAACTCAATGAATATCCCTGCACTAGTTGGAAAGGTGAGAATTTGTTAACAAAATTGTCTTCTATTGTATTATTCCTAAGAATTATAACTTTGAGTGGGTTTTTGTTAGAAGCATGGCTGAGAAAGACGTTCTCTTGGGAGAAATGATTTGGATTATGTATATTTTGCAATAAATGTTCCAAGTTAGTCCAATAAATCTCTTCATCATGATTTTCCCAATTATAGAATTGCAGTCTTATATGTGGGTCAGGATTCATGTATGATGACATTGTAATGAACTTAATCAAAGTTTCAGGCCTCTGAATCCCCATAAGCAATGCAGCAAATACTTATTAAGCATTTACTTTAACAAAACATTTTTTTCTTATGTTATTCCTTCATTTATTCATTCACTAAACCATTTATTGAGAATCTTCTATGTCCTGATATGAGGCAAGATACAGGGCATACAAAGATGAACAAGACCTGTGCCTTGTAAACATATGTAAATTTTACAGTATAATAGGGGAAATAAGATACTAAACAAAATAGAATGGCAACCACAGCAAAGACATGTACACACATGAGGAAGGACAGAGAGTTGCTGCAAACTTGTCTTGAGAAAGTCTGCAATATCTGGGAGAAAAATAGTGACCAGAGAACAGAATTTTAAGAAGAAAGTCACTCCCTTAAGACAAAGAAATGGGAACAGTGTGTGTAAAGTTCATTAAGTTTAGAGGAACTAGAAAATAAGATAGTGCTCGAAGGAGAGACGAGAGTTGAGGGCAGGTGCCAAACTGCAAAGAACCTCACATTATAAATCATGCCCGAGTACTGAAATTGTTTCTTAGAAAAACAGGAAGTTTGGTTGGTTCATTGTAAGTGAATAAAGGCAATAATAAAATTTATATATATATATTTTTTTCTCATTTCTTTGTTTTAAATTTTTATTGTTAAATCATGTTTGTGCACATCAATACTATCATGGGATACAGTGTGTTGTTTTCATATACAATTTGAAATACTTTCATCCAGTTGGCCAAGATAGCCTTCATGTCATTCTCGTAGTTGTTGTGTTAAGACATTTAGAATCCACATTTAGAAAGATTCACATGTACCCTTATAAGATAAATCATAGGCATGATTCCTGCAATCTCCCTCCTTTCACCCATGCTCCCCCCCTCCCCTGTCTCTCTCCTTTCCCCATATTCTTGGACAAAAATTGGATTTGTCTACATGCAATGAATGATATTAGATCTTAGATTTTACTAGTGGAAAAATACAGAAGGAAAGATAACATCTATGAAAGACGATAAGACATTATTAGGACAATTGGGGGAATTTGGAGTTGAACTATATATTAGATGAAAGTACTATGCAAATACTGAACTTTTGGGATGTGATCATTGCTTTGTGATTTTTGTAGGCAAATGTCCTGCTCTTAGGAGACATATAATAAACAATGTAGAGATGAGGTCTGAGGCTTACAAATAACTCTCAAATGTTTCAACAGAAAAATTACAAACACACACATGTCTATATGATAAAGATATGGGGGATTTTTCTTCCTTTTGCCTCAAAAACTTAAACACATCATGTGTTAACTTACCAAAATATAAGGGAAAACTCAGATTCTTGGTGGCCACAGAAAAATGTCCACAATAATTTGCCTCCACATTGTTGGTAAATTGATCAGTTTTATAATTTAGAAATTTTTAAGTTAAAAAAGAAAAGTAACTTCAAATAGTTATTTATAAGCAGTAGATTAGACTGTCTTTATAGACCTAACCTCAAAATGCCATCTGTACTTTTCCAAGTTCAAAGTTTTTAACAGTAAAGCAGTGATGCTTCTGTCTACATGAGGTGTTAAAATAGTGGAGAAAGAATCCAGAAGCAAGAACTTAAAACATCTCACACAAAAAACCCTCCTTTTGAGTAGGAATGACCAAATCCATTCCAAATAATCCAGCATGGGATTGAAGAGTCCTGGCAAGACCATAACACATCCAAAAAATGCATGAGTTTTTCTGTTAAAGATCAATCTTTTAGACTACCTGGTACTTAACCAAGATCTTGGATGAACTTCTCTATTGAAATCCATATGTAAATGTTTCAGGAAAAATGTAAACTATTAGCATGATTGCCACTCCATTACCTACCTGCTATATAGGAGTTTATCCATCTAGACACCAGGTCAAACTACTCTTGGCCTTCTAAAATTAAAAAGGGTTTCAGGAGCCTGTGTTGTAGTTTTTAGAGCATCTTCTTGTTCCTGCAGGTTGTCTTTCTTTCATTTTCCTTATTGGCATCTGTTTTGTGCTTGTTTTCCACACAGGGGTGTCTCATTTTAAGTGATGAGTTAAACCACGCATCTCTCGTGCTTGGGGCCCGACTCTCAGGTGCAACCATAAAGATCTTCAAACACAACAGTAAGTACCAGCATATTTATTCGATATGTAGCAGCTTGTTCCTAGAAGAACAAAAATTATTGATGGGACTTTGAACTTTGTTCTTGCTCTTCAAACTGGCAACTTGGCCTAATGAAACACAATTATGTTTACGTTCACTACTGGCTTGTTAACCTCTAGTGACCTGGAACAAATGGTTGAAGTGCATTAAACTTCCAGATTGTTAAGTGTAACCCAAACACATTAACGTAGCTGTTAGTGGTCTTTTAGTGTGCCCTCTGAGGACATGATTGATCTCTTAGGACAGTCATTTAATTATCAGAAGTGTTATAACTCTTCCTTCCCTATAACTCTGTCTCAGAAAGTTCGAAGACATAAGTTTTATGTTATAGTTAGGTATAAAGTGAGCTTGTTCCTTAGTATAATGCCTTCTTTCACTATGCCCACCCACAGAATGCTCAGATACCCACCCGCCAAAACTTCACTGAAAGGTCCTTTCAGGCTCCGGGTTGTGTAGTTGGGTGGTGAGGAGGAGGCAGAGTGCTAATTTTTCTTTAGGGACTTGACAAGGCAGCATGGAAAGTATCAGGAAACATTTTGAAGGAGGCGGGTGATGGTGAACACCTGAGTTCTCTCTTCTCTAGCTCTACACCTAACTTGTTGTGTCACTTGGTATAAATCCTTTAATTTTTCTTGCATTCAGTTTTCTCATCTGTAAAATGAGGGCATTGAACTATGCAATGGGTCAGGAACCTTCTCATTCAAAGGTTCTGATTCTCATCCATTATCATCATTGAAATCTCCCTTCTTCCTGTGCATGTGCACACCTATTTTCTCTTTCTTCCTTCTTGCCACCTTTCTCTCCTGTTTTTCTCTTCCCTTTACTTTTCCCTGCTCTCCTTCTTGGCTCTCCTCTTTATTCTTCAAGAAAATGACAAAGGTTGATGTGAGGAGAGGACTGACAGGGAACTGAGGAAGAATTGTTTCTGTTCTGTTCTACCCACCTCCCAGCAATCTCAAACCAAAGAACAATTGTCCTCTGGGAAGGATAGAAAATACACAGGAGTATTCTAAGGAAAAGCCCCTTGTCTAACTTGCAGAATTGTGCAAATTAACAATCTACTGCTCTCACCAAGTGAGGAGAGGTCTGGCTGTGCTTTAGTGAACCATTGTCAACATCTATGTGAAGATGAATACTCCAAAGAAGAAGTTGATGATGGGCACCTCAGATTTGTACCTTAACTACCACATTTAGCTCAATGCCAATTCAAAATACATTGGCCTCATTTATTAATTTGTGAGTCCCATCCCTAGACTCAGGCTTTAGTCTAGTCTTCAGTTTAGTCTTTTACAAACCAAGTTAAATTTCTTCAGTTCTGTTTGGTTTATTATTGATTGTCACATCTATACTCAAATTATTTTGGCAGTGTTGGGAATTCAAGTTTGGAGTAGACATCATTTAGGGCTTCAAGAAATAAGTTTATTAAAAGACTACCAAAAAACTACCTTCCTTTGGTATTAGCAGAGCATGTTATGCAATTTTGATTCTTTATTGTGACAGATGGTTGATGAACAAAGGCTTTGTCTACTTGGGGAAGGACAAAGCGGATAGCTGACAAGTATTGAACTGTAGTTTTAGCCACATATATGGTTAAACATGGTAGTCTCACTTTTGGAGGGAGACATAGTCAGGTTGTTATCTATTTGGAACAAATGAGTGGGATTATTGTCAATGTTAACTTTTCATATTTTTCACTCCATTCTACTGTGAGCAGTGGACCATGATGCCAACTGCACAATAGAGGTGTCTAGGGAACATCTATAAAAGATCAATGTCTGTGCCCATCTACAGACCAATTGTATTGGAGCCAAGGTGCTGCATTTTTTCAGGCTCCCAGATGATTATGATGCATAATGAAATATATAAGACCTAGATTTTATTTTCTAACCTCCTTTAATCTAAGATGTGCTTGGATCTTGCCAGTGTCCCCTGGGAGATACCACCGGGCACACTGCTATAGTAACTATACTCACTCTTCCCCTCACTGCCCTTTCATACTCTTGATCTAAAGTTTGCAAGTAGAGTTTTAAAACATGCCAAGAATATGTTCCCAGGCAGAATATATTGAGCATTTAATGAACATCTATTCTGATTCAGGCACTATGCTATATCTTTGAAGGACTAGAAATGTGGTGTAGTAATATCTTAGTTATATGAAAGCATACAGTTTGGTAGATGAGGCAGCTACGAGTATGCCAGTAATGGTATAAAATAAAAGGGGCCTAAGTGACATTAAGCAGGACTTAAGAGGGCCCACTATAGCCCTCCACGTCCACAAAAATAGCTGAAATCAGAAAGATGACAACACTAAATGTTAGCAAGAATATGCAGCCACTAGACAGTGGTTCTCAATCTTCCTAATGCCACAATGTATTTTCATTGTTGAAAAGGGGTCCCATCCCACAGGTTGAGAACTGCTTCACTAGAACCCTCACTCATTGCTGGAGGACTATAAGATGGTACAACTTCTTTGGGAAGCTTCCTGGCAAAACCTTATAGAACTAAACACACCCCTGAAATTCCACACCTCATTTGCATATGTCTGCCAAAAGGCTTATACAAGAATGCTCATAGCAACTTTACTCATAATAGTCAAAAGCTGGAAACAACCCAAATCTCTATCAACAGAATAGTGGAAAATAATTGTGACTTGTTTTATTACTGTATAATAAAAAAGGAAAAAGCTACCGCTATGCATAACATGGCTAACGCTCAAAAAATATTTTAATTATTTTGAGTGAAATATACCAGGCACAAAAGAGTATACATAGTGTGTAAATAAAAAACAAAACTAATTTGTGGTGATAGAAACCATAGTAATATTTGCCTCTTGTTCTGGAAGAAGGGTGAGAAGAATAAAAAAATTCTGGAGTGATCTTTATTGGAGTGGCTACGTTCTTATTGAAATTCATTGAATTGTATCTTTAAGATCTATACATTTCCCTATAAATAAATCTTACCTAAAAATATAATTGTCATAAGACAGGATATATAAAATTAAAACAACTAATTCAATATGTAAAATTATAATTATTTATAGTTTTAAGCTGTTAAGGACTAGGATAAATTGTTCCATGGCAATAGAAAATAATACACCTTATGGGCCACTATTTCTGGGGTCCAAGTTGGGCACCCAAGCTTGGCTTCTTGCTTCTTCTCCCAGGAAGTTCTATGGAACAGATCCTGAGTCCTTTTATCCAACAACTCTATCCACTCAAGGACTGGCAAAAAAACCAATAATGGGAAAAGTTGGAAGATGGCTGATACTTCCAGGATAAGTTCTTCTTTGTCTTCATAAGGATAGGAAACTTGAGAGGTGGTAGCAGTTAGGTCAGAAAATGAAATAGGGTTTGGCTAATGTTCCTTGACCACTTTTGAGACACAACTTTCCATCCCACTACTACAATATGCCAAGAAACATCAGGCTCTGACACATTGTGTTAGCAGCTTCTCTCTTGGGATTGATAGGGAGGTGGCCTGATGTGTGTCTTTTCCTACTGGCTGGGGCTGAAATAGGAAAAGAAGAAATCATTGTCTGTGTCTCTATCCCACAAATAGTTATCAAAAATGCCCCTCTTATCCATAGATAGGTGGAGTAGATGCCATCATGCTTAAACAAAATGTTCCAATGATGATATAAAATACAAACGATTTACCAGATACCATATGGTGAAAATTTCTAAGCACAAGACAACCTTATTTTAAATATTCAAATAAATTAATCCAGCTGCAGATCGAGTCTTTCTGCTAATTCCAACTGCTTTATAATTTTTCCAGAGTCGAAGAGCGGTTCAACCTGCTCCTCCAACACAGCCTTTACCATACAATGCGGTTTCTTCAGTCTTCAGACTAAAATCTTAGGATAAGATTTCAGTGAATTTATACCCATGGGAAAACATAGTAACTACATCAAGGAGAAATCAGACAACAGTTGCACAGCTGACATAAACAAAGTCACCAGTGAGGGAGAAATGGACATTGTATGCTTCCAGATGTGATTCCCTGGGAAAGAGTGAACATCATTTACATAGGATGCAGGTTAGAACCCAGAATGTTATCATTAGACAACCCCAAATGAGGAATGTTCTGTTATAAAAAAAGGAATTGTATTCTCCAAACATGTCAGTCACATAAGAGACAAAGAAAGGCTGAGGAGATGGTCCAGATTAAAGGATACTAAAGAGCTATGACAGTTAAATACAATACCTAGCCCTAGACGAGATTCTGAAAGAGATGGGAAAATGCTATAAAAGAAACTACTGGGCCAGTTCACAAAATTGAAAATTGGACAATAGATTAGATAACATTAGATAAGTATATCAATGTTAAATACACTGAAGTAGATAACTAGACTATAGTCCAGGGATAAACAACCTATGGCCTATGAGCTAAGAATATTTTTTACATTTTTTAAAGGATTGTATATAAAGCAAAGAAGAACATGCAACTGATACTATATATGACCCCCAAAGCCTTAAGTATTACTGTTCACTTCTTGATAGGAAAAGTTTGCTGACTCCTGCTATAGTCACATAAGAGAATAAAGGATCATTATTCTCAGTGTGTGTTAGGGAAGACACACTGAATTATTTAGGGGTGAAGGCCGTGATACATGCCATTTAGTCTCAATTCAGAAAAAAATTGTTACATATACAAATAGAAAGCTAGATAGATTCACACAGCTGTAGAGATATACTGTAGAGATAAAATGATAAAGCAAATGAGATAAAGTGTTAATAGATCAATCTGGATAAGAGTATGTGGGTATTCTTTACATTATTCTTGCAATTTTCTTGTTAAATTTGAAATTATTCTCAAATAAAATTTTGTTTTAAATCTTTATTTCTTTGCCGAAATTATAATTCAAGGGTTAAATTTTACCTTCCAATTTTACAAAGCACTTAAGCATTTAGTAATTTATTCTTCATGTCTTCTCTCTGTGCTTTTGGAAAATAGATAA